TTGATGTCTGTTTCTCGTGGCCAGCAGTCTGTAAGTGGGCTGAAGCCCCTTTCTAGTCACATGGAGGAAGCGTGGCTCTCTCTTGAGCTGGTTTTGCTGCTCCATCTCTTCAACTGAGCTGCCTTCCCCACCGCCATGCACCTTGCATTTGGTTAATTGCCAAAAAAGTTACCTGCATTTTCCAACAGTTTGGTGTCACAAGTTCTTTTCTTTATGTATGTATGCCCTGACATGAATGTCTTAGGTTTTGGTCACAGCCAAAATACTTACCATGTGTAGTTTTTGACAGTTTGGCCTAAATCTCTGTAATACCTGCAGTGTATCTTTATAACAGGTCGGGGCGGAGCTAAAATAAGAGAACTTGAGGATTCTTCAGGTTCCAGGATAAAGGTACCATGTGCTGTGTGTCATCTGGGCCTGGACTCTGATGGGAACATACTTGGTTTTGCTTCCGTGTAAACCAGAGTTACTGCAGCAAGTTGAAGGGTGTTGCAATGGCTGTAATAATTCTACTCTTTTACAAGAATTGGTAAAAAGGAAGTGTAATTGAGGATGTAATTTGACTGGTATGTGAAAGTAGGAAAACCTTACTGATTTTTTTTTTTTTTTTTTTCCCTTCAAGCATGTATTAATTTACCTTTCTTTTAGGTAGGGAAATAAAGGGCCTTTTCCTGACAAGTTCAAATTCAGAAACAAATCAAAGACTGTTTTCAGTATATATTCTTAGATAATGTTTGTCTTTGCAGTATTAAAAAACTCAGTAAGGTTTTATGAACATAGGTTATAAAGGGAACCTATGAAGCTGAAGTAAAGATTTTTGGCAGTGTTGCTGTGCAAAACAAAGCCAAGATGTTGATTGACGATGCTGTGACAAGAGCTGGAGAAAACTACATTAGAGGTGGGACTGAGAAAGGTAAGAAATGTTTTGGGTTGGTTGTTTGTTTTTTTTTTTAAAGTGTGAATTGCCTTTCCATATATTTGGTAGTTTGCTGGAGTGGTTTTATATTTTTAGTATTTTACTGAAGCGAGTTAACTTTCACTTTGTTCTTGGACAACGGCGTACATCCTTAAAACAAGTATCTAGACATCCTCCTTTCTCAGCTATGAACAGTTTCCCCCCCTCAAACTGCCAGACTTCTGTGAAACTCTGTTCCTGTGTGTTTTCAACAATTTTAATGAATGTAGAATGTTATACTATTTGGTTTCTTGCATTATCAGTCTGATTCCCCCAAAATACAAGTATTGGTTCTAATTTAAGTTTTAATGTAGTATCTGTGCAGTATTGAAATTCAATAAGGTTTTATAAATGTAGCCTATAAAGCAAACATGTACTGATTATAGCATGGATGATGCTGACTTCTTATTACTTTCATGGGAAGTTAGCATTTAAGACTTGATGTTGTACATCATGCCTCACTTTAATAGGCTTTATTGTGTTAAATTAGTCTGTTACAGGGATATATAAGGAATGATTGTATGTTGAGATGCTGCTTATGTTGCTGTTATTTGTCTTGTTTGCCTGTGCAAAGTCATTGGGAACACATACAACATCCATCATAGTTGTTGATCTGAGGCACTGATGAGGAAGAAGGGATCCAAGAGTTGTCTTCCAGCATTAGAATAAGAAATGGAGTAGTTGTGAGGTTTGATTTTAGAAGTGCCCCAGAAGGTGGATGAGTTAAGTTTCAAGAGGCTAGAAAAAGTTCACACTTCCTTAGCATGTGCAACTGTTTTCCTCATGTTTCCTGGTTTTCCACTAATATGTAATTGTGTTGCCATTTATATCTTCAGTGTAAAACCCTTCTTATGAAGTGTTAACCTCATCAAAAAAGAGGTATAGAGTGTAACTACACTGAGACCTTATTGTGGTGATGTTGGACGCTTCAGAAGTAAACCTTGCTCTTGTAGCTGTTAAAAATAAAGCTTTCTGTCTGCATATCATCTACTACTTTCACAAGTTTTTCAAAAGACTGCTGCACAACAAGCCTTATTTATAGCTGGAGGAGCAGCATTTTGGAACCTTCATTACTTTCTTTAAGTAGCTAAAGATGTTGAAATGCTTCTTTTTTATCAGAACTGGATTTGTACAGGTTTTACTGATGTTTCAGGGTAGGACCTAGGAACAAATTTTATGCTTAAATGCTTAATGTCTATTCAAAATCACAGAAGAGGCCTTACAATAGAAAAAGAAAATAAGGTGTTTGTTTTAAGGGGGGGTTCTTCCCCACCCCCCAACAGATTCTATCAAACAGCAGCATTTTGGTACTAACTCTGCAGGAAGAACTCTGGATGTTATCAAGCCTGAAAATAACCCAAAGAAATCGGTGATTAACTGGGCCTCTCTTCGAGAAAACAAAGCTAAATATGAGGCTATGAAGTGGGCAGGTTAGTTTTAGAATTTTTATTGTATGGCACTTGTCTTCATATGATAAATCTGTTGAATGCTTAAACGTTTTTAATTTTTGCTTTGAGATGACTGAATCTTTCAGTGTCCAAGTTAAGTATTTGCAAGGAAGTGACCATGTCAGCATTTCTCAACATGGTCATGGAGGACACTAGTTATTGTGTGAAGACTTAACTTACTACTCAATTGGTATTCTCACTTTACCCTTTGAAAATGCTGTTGTTTTGTATGTGGCCGCAGCAAAAATCTGAGAATTGTTATATATTATGCTATATATGTTAGTAGAAATTACTGTAGAACTTGAAATGTGGAGAAGTGGTTCTTTGGCAGACACGTATTTTTCTCGGCCTTCACCTCTTACATGAACACAATAGTCTTCCACTGCTTTTGACTAGTCTTTTAGTACAAGGCACAGTTTGGGTTTTGGGATTTCCATCTTAAACTTTAGCAAACTTACCCTGAATCTGTAACATTACTTATTGACTCAAGTTTACTTTTTCTGATTGTATAAGACTTGCCTCCAATTGAGAAAAACTTCTATAAAGAGTCATCAAGGACTGCATCTATGTCACAAGAAGAAGTGGAACTGTGGCGGTAAGACCGTTTCTGTAAGAACTCATGTGCTTGGCAAAAATAAATTTTAAGGTATAAAACCCAGAAAGTGGGAGATGAAATACTGAGACAGAAGCATTAATTAGGGTCTTGTAACAACTAGATCTTCTTAGGAACTCTTTTATAGGAATTAAACAATTAACTGGCAGATGAGGTGTTATTAGTTGCTTGGAAAATTAACTTCAGGGATTAACTGCTTCTCTAAAAGTGTTTGGTGTAGTTGACTTTCAGAAGGGAAAAAAATCAGGACAGTTCATTGGCTTTGGCTGTTTCTTTCCATTTCACGAGACAGCATCTTCACGTTTTCTAAGTCCTTCCAAATATTGTTCACGTGTTGAATACCTCTTGGCTGCCATTCCCCCCCCCCCCCAACTATTATTT